CACACCCACACACCCACACTCACCCACACCCACACCCTAGAAGAATCAATGTAATATACTGTGATTTGGTTAAATCCTCACTTTATTATAAACGATAATAATCTTAGAATAAATTGAGCAAGGTAGCTATACTGTGAGTGGCATTGTTTTAGATAAAGCGTCTTTGCACTTCCAAAACAGTGTGCTAATGATCATTGTAAATTGTTTTGAGCAAGCATGTTATAATAAACTCCACGTTGTTGTATCAATTCTGGATGAGTACCACTTTCCACTATTTGTCCTCCCTCAAGTACACAAATCAGATCACATGAACGAATAGTTGAAAGCCGATGAGCAATAATGAGTGATGTTCGACTGGGATCGTCTATTTGAGCTTGTTCAAGAGCTTCTTGTATAATCTATAATTGTACAATGAAGATGAAATGTTAATTGATCAATAGATAAAACAAATTTACCTGTTCATTGTATGAATCCATGGCACTTGTAGCTTCATCTAAGAGTAATACTTTAGGTCGACGAATAAGAACTCGAGCAATGGCAATACGTTGCTTCTCCCCACCTGACAGAAAACTACCTTTAATCCCTATTTTTGTTTCGTAACCCTAAAAAATGTCACACAATAATAATACATACATTATATTGTATGGTATTATTTAACCTGAGGTAACTGATCAATAAATTGATGAATATTAGCTTTAGTTGCTGCATTAATAATGTCTTCCATTGGAACATTTTCTAATCCATATGTTATATTTTCAGCAATTGTTAAATCGAACAAAATTGGTTCTTGACAAACAAGACCAAACTGAGAACGAACCCAATGAAGATTTAGTTGTCGAATATCAAAGCCATCAAGAAGCTAGATTGAATGGATAAATTTTATATAATTACTTAAAATATACTGAAGTACGTTGAAGAAATACTAACTATTCCACCATGTGTAACATCATAGAATCGCTCCAACAGTTGAATAGTTGTTGATTTTCCGCTTCCTGATGTACCTTTATAGATCATCTTACATAATTGATATTTAAAAGAAATATTATAATTCAAACATACCAACAAGAGCTACACGTTGACCTTATAAGTGGATGAAATTTATTAATAACATGATTAAATCGAAATTTATCTCACTTACCTGGTTTGATATTCAATTGAAATTTGTTAAGAATAACAGATGTTGGTCGTGTTGGATAAATAAATTTGACTTGATCAAATTTTATCTCGCCACGAAAATCAACCTACACGAATCATATTTTATCCTTGGCATACGCATAATGGAAAGAAAATAATTATTTTCTATATTGTCTTACCAATTCTCGACCTTCAGTAGATGTATTATCGATAGCTGGTATTCGATCAAATAAATCAAAAAATGCGTCAGCAGCCGAGGCTGATGCAGCAATACTACTAGATCTAGAATGAAGACATTAGAAGAAAAATAAGCGAAATCAAGATTGAGAGTTACATCAGCCCAATGCATTTTAGTGCTAGTAACAAAAACCCAGCAAAAGCACCGACCCTAAAGAAATTAAAACGATAACAAAACATTGTCTGCAGATTATCAAAGTGTGATTTCAATTACATTATAATATGATCTACTTTAATTTTGTTCTTTTCGAAAAGAACAAGACCACGCCAGTACAAAAATGCTAAAGTGTATATATCTATTGTCCAGTATATACCATACGCCACTGAAGTTATTATTGAACTTTTCTGAGACAATCTATGACAAAACAAGATTGATTACAAATTTATTCATGTATAATATTCAAATGGCTTACATTAACATTTGACGAATAAGGTCAGAATATTGGCGTAAAACTTCCTTTTCTATTGACAACTGCTTTATTGTACGCATGTTGTGAATAACTTCAACAGCAAGCTGCAAAAGCACAAGACAAAGTGAATATTTTATATTTTTGATATATCAAACACTTGGTGACATTTTAGTTTTTTCGATATAAAAAGATTATTAGTCAAAACCTGATCTTACTGAGCTTGCTTGTTGCAGACTTTGATTAGAATGTTTATTCACCCATCGGCGCAGGCTTACATCCGCATAGGCTAGTATGCCTATGAGAAGAAGAGGACCGAAAAGAATCGCTGTTAATTGCCAACTCGTGAGACATTCAAATAGAATTCCAAAAAGCAACAGTGCGAGAGCTTCACAGATGACTCCTAATCGGGTACCAACCATTTCTTGAACGGCTAATGCGTGAGAAGAAAGCCGAGTACAAATCGAACCAGAACTGTTTTCAGGTCGATCGAAATAAGCAACTTCTTGACGAAGAAGACATGCAAAAGCTTTCGAACGAACTCGCTGAGTCAATTTTGATCCTGCTATGGCAAAAGCTGTATACTACAGAAACGAAAGAACAAATCATTAATCGGGGTCAGAAACAGCATTTTTACCTGAAGGAAATTAAGAGTCAATAAACTAAAACCCAAAAGTAAAAAAAGAAAACTGATAACCAACACTCGATGACGTCGTTCAGATGCTGAGCAATATTTGAAAGTCTACACAATAAAGAAATTGATATACAAAGGCTTACATTGTTAATTTTTTTGCACCATATTTATATGAATAAATCACTCACATCAATCATTTTAGTATATAAAGGTGCGAACATTGGTTGAGCCGCTCCATTAAGTACACATGCTATGCAACCAATCAAGATGATGATCCATTCACGGCTATTCATTGACAAGAGTCTGAAAAAGGCAATACTTTGTCCTAATGACTTTGAACTTTGCTATAAGAAAAAGTATCAATAATAGTTTTTATAAATAATTGCAGCAATATTACTACTTTTTTCGCATCAACAATTTGATTTTCGCTAAGCAAACGAGATCGTTCGACTATTAAAGAAGAAAAGGATTAATGACAGTGAAGATTATTAACATGATACTATAAATATACTTATTGATATGTCATCTTCTTCTTTTGTTTGTTGCATGGTCATCATACCATCTTTATCATCATTGATTTTTTCTATTTGTTGACGTTTCACCATTGCTTGGTATTTGCCTCTTCGCTTTGCCATTAATGTTTCATGTGTACCTTGCTCAATCACACTTCCATTATCTAATACATATATTTGATCAGCATTTTGAATTGTAGTCAAACGATGAGCAATAACAATAGTTGTACGACCTATACAGAGTGATATATACGTATGAGAAACAGAACGGACAATCGCTACCTCTACATGCTCGATTGAGCGCTTCTTGAACAATTTTTTCGTTTACATTATCAAGTGCACTTGTTGCTTCATCTAATAAAAGGATCGTAGGGTGTCTTACAAGAGCACGAGCTAATGCAATACGTTGTTTTTCTCCACCACTCAACTGTACACCACGTTCGCCAACAAGTGTTTCATATTTCTAAATAAGAAATAATGATAAATTTATGTGAAAAAAGATGAATATTAAGTGTAAACATTTGGCAATTGCATGATGAAATTGTGTGCATTTGCTTCTCTTGCTGCTTCTTCAATTTCTGCTCGCGTTGCATTTACTTTACCAAAACGAATATTTTCATAAATGCTTAGACTAAACAAAACCTATTACAATAGTAAATGAAATCGTCAGAAAGAAAAGAAAACCGAATCCAAAGCATACAGGTTCTTGACTAACAACTCCTATGCTTTGTCGAAATTGTTTAATATTGTAGTCTGTTATTGGCCGACCATTGATTGTAATTCGACCCGATGAAGGTTCATAATAACGAAGAAAAAGTGATGTACAAGTACTTTTTCCTAAGAATAAATGATGAACACAAATACGATAGTTTAAACATTATTTTGTTTTGGAAAAGACTTACCAGAGCCACTTAAACCTACGAGAGCAGTTGTCTCTCCAGCACGAGCAATAAGGGAGATATTACGTAGAACTAATGCATCTTTTCGAGATGGATAAAAAAAGTTTACGTTGTCAAATTCGATATCACCATTGATATCATAAATCGATTCTGTATCCTCTTTCCACACATCTATTTCATTGATACTTGCGTCATTTCCCTATGTCATGTAAGCAAATAGAGAACATCGTCATCAATAATATACCTCAATTTAGTCGAATTCACCTCGTCAACAAGTTGAAACACCGATACTGCTGCACCTTGAGCTTCTGAAAACGATTGCAAAAAGGGACCAATGAGACTGAAGGATCTCAGGCATTGTGTAAAGATAGAAACGACCTATATCAAAATAGTAGTCGCATATTTATTTCTTTATTGACTGATTATATTAGTTACTTACGACAAGAATATCAATAAGACTCAAAGTGTGATGATCTTTGCTTGACTTAAGATAAGATCCAAAGATGAAACCAACTGCGTAAACTAGGTAATTTATCAAAGAAATCCATCCAGCAAAAATTCCACACGTCACACCTGTGCGGACACTACTCCAACGAGTTGAAGATAATTCTCTTTCGTATCTAAATACAGTGAGAATAAGAAAAAATTTTTATCGTATTTTAAAATTAAAATCGTCGTATATATTCATATACCGTTTTTGTTCAAATTCGCAACCGTTAAGCGAAAGAACAGTTCGCAATGAACTGAACACTTCTTGAACAATTTGTCCCGCTTTCGCATATGTTCTTAACTCATTCGTGGCTTCATTAGCAGTGAGCTGTAACAAATTCGATAGATTTAATTGATTGAAAAATGTTTCATACCTTAGAAAACACAAAAGAACTACCAATGACCAAAACTATTAAACATATCATGATCAAAGTCAATTGCCAATTGACAAAGAAAGATATTATTACACAACCCATTATGTTGAATGATGTTGCCATCAATATTAGGAATTCAAAACCAATGCCGTTCTCGATCTTTGTAATGTTACTACATAAGAAGTGAATCAGATGAAGTTATTTGATATAAATTATCACCATGGCTTACTGAAACAGTTTAGCATTAAGGCGACTAATTGATCTCGTGTCCATATAGGGGATGCTCTAAAAATGGAGAGAGAAAAAATAACAGTTAGAGATGCACAAATTTGACTGTGTTACTTCAACTGCACTCACATTTCATAAATTTGACCTCATCTGTACTTTCCGAGTTGTAATTCAGTTCTAACTTTAATTTTTTTTGCTGGATTTTACTCTAACTCTAGCTTTAAAAAGCTGTACTCTAGTGGATATTCCCTTGAAAATTTGAATTTTTTTGCATTCGCTTTTATAATAGATGTTTTTCCTTGTAAACTTTTTCATTTTCACCTGATCAATTACTAAGTCAGCTGATGTTTAATCCCGATGGATAAAAATCCATTAACTGCAGTTCCATGCGTCAAATTTCAAGTTTACTTTAATTACACTCTAATAAGAGAAACTTCACAAGTGTTCCGTTCCAATTTCAGTGATTTTTCGCCTATAAATACTACATAGTATTCTGGTGAAAATCCTAAAAAGACTTCAGTGTCTATAGAGACTTAGAAGAGCTATTTGATTATCAATGTAATTGTTTGTCAAAGGGCAATGCACACTGAAAAAAAAAATGGTACACTACGAAACATGAGCTTCTGTGGAACGTTACAATAGCTTGTAAAGTATCGAATACATTGATGAAACCTTACCATGATTTCCGAAACTAATAGGCTTTGTGTAAAGCCATTACTAGTTTTCTAGTCGAAATAGCTTCGTAGTATACCTTCTAAATGTTTTGCATTAAACTAATCATTTATCCTTGCCTCCACGATAATGCGAACAGATGTTCACCAATCAGAAACTCAAGTGATATGACTTTGTTCTTCCATTTATATGTATATTAACATGTGCGTTACAGTCGATTTTGTAAATCACATTACTGCGTTCAGACTTTATAGTTTTCATTAGGATGCTTATTGCTGAAAGAATAAAGAATGCTACACTTTTGCAGCAATCAAATTTCCTTTTTCTCTAAAATCTTGAGTTCTTTAAAATTTTGCCGAAAGAAACACAACATTCGAGATAGATCATCGTTTAAAGCAACTCAATTAGCGTAAAAGGTAACTAGCTTTAGCTGAATATTAATTTTAATGAAAAAATGGCAAAAGGCAGCACTCAATTCGTTAATATTAAGGATTAATAAGTCATTTAACTGACGATGCCCCGTCCCCTCATAATTATTTGTAAGTGAAGTACATTCAAATCGAACAACATTTTCAAAATATTCTACAGATGTAGTGAAGAGACGATACCAAAAGTTTCACTCCTATACCATGAGATGTTCCAGAGATAGACATCAAACAAGGGTCACCAATATTTTGTTTGACTTTCCAACATTTTTTTTGGGGTCTTAATTCTATACATTCCATTATTTTTGCTTCGGAGAGTATGTGAGAATGCAGCACCGGCCGAATCTCTTTTTTAAAATTCGTATTCTTTTGAGGAGACAACGGATGACAATTGATATTCCACACACTCGTTATAAATATAGGATTTTTTTCAACCACTTTTGGAGAGACTTTGGGCACTTGAGTAGTCACCTTTTTCACCTCAAAAAAGTAAGAATTAAAAAATGAGATTCGACAAACGCTGCATTCTCCCATGCAATTTCAAGGAAAAAAATTTGAATATATACAATGAAGACCCAGAAAGGATTTAGGAAAATGATATGAACAATTTGCAACCTTTTTTTGGTGTATATCTCCCAAAGATCTCTCGGTATAGGACTGCAAATTTTAGCATAGTCTCTCCGCTATTGTCCGAGTATATCCTAAATTTTTTTTCGATTTCACTATACTTGATCCAAAATCGATTTCGAGGGAGGATGACCTCAATATTAGGTTTAAAGTGTTTCTGGGAATACATTAATCAGTTGAAATTAAGAAGATAAGTCGTCGCAGTGATGGTAATACTATTCGATTCAATTTTTCTTGGTCAGGACGGACTATTTTGTGAGAATAACAATTTTTGTAATAAAGCTTGTCTAGAACTTTTCGGGATCAAGAAATCTGAATCACTAGACTACTTTGGAAGTTTCGAAAATGTGTTTTGTCAGGTTACATGACTTTAATTTTGTAAGCCTCTCCTTCCTCAAACATAGGATCTTCAAGTCAGAAAGCGCTATTGAGCTGAAACTTTGTACATATATTAGAAGTGAATATTTACACATATAAAAAACTTTTTGAGCCTTGTATCTTTTTCTTAGCGGGGACTAGGTAAATTTTAGTAGTTATTTTGGTGTCTTCCGCATCTCCAAGGGCATTTAACTACCTCAAGATATAGAGCTGATTTTTTTTCTTTTATTTTAAAGAAGACATCTGAGGTTAGCGCTTCTCATTGCTCCTTTTTTATCCATGTATCAGGTTATGATTCTGAAAAAAAAATGCAACATTCTATGAGAATAGCAAAATTTCGAGAAAAATTATAACATTTTTTCTTTGTTGAAGCCTTTATTTAAAAACAGGATCACGAAAGTCGCTAGCTCTAAACACGAGCTTTCAAACAAAAAGCCTATTGAATACAATGAAGCTTCTTCGACAAATCTGGCAGCTACGACCGAAAGCCTATAGAAGAAGAAAAAATAAAAAAGATTTTCGATTTTTCCAGACGCAGCTTATGGTTCGAACAGTGGATTATGTAAATCTTCAGAAATTTTTGGACAAATCGATGTACCCAATAAAATCTTTCTGTCGTTTATGAGAGATTAAATCACAGACTATTTTCCTCTGTATTTATCTTAATTACGATCATTCTGACGAAAAGTGGCTTATTATGGATCTTAAGCTATTAGTCAAGTTTTGTTTGAAAAGCTGTTATTTTCGCAAGAAAGAATTTTTCTGGCCGAGAAATATTGATCCTAATAGTATTACTCTTGCGAAAACCACGTATTCACTGTAATTTCAAGTAAATTTTATGTCAACAGAAAACATTAAACTTAATATTAACTGTTAAGTAGTGCGTTGGTCATCAATATTAAGGAATAGCGCGGCGCTGGTCGTCCAGGTTTTATTAACATTAATGATCAAATCATCCATCGACTCTTAATGTTAATTTCATGTAAATGGTCCACTCTTTTCTAAGAGGTCTCGGCACAGATATACAGACAGACATAGATATATGTGGATAGACAAGTATTTATATGGAGATAGATTGAACAGTGAGATTAAGCAGTTAGATGAAGGAGGTAAATGTAGCTGTACCAGAATAAATTTGTGGAGATAGATTAAGAGAATATAATAGACTAGCTTTAAGCAACAGGTGTATATAGAAGAAAAAAAGGTATAGAGCTTGAAGGAACGATGCATCTGATGTAATAGAAAGTTTCTTTCATGAATTAGTTTCTCAAAGAATTAGAACTTTAATTAGTAGACTTACATCAAAATATAGTTAGTTTTTAGGGTTTGAGCTGAAAATCTTAAAAGACTGAAGTCAGCGTCATTTCTGTCCTGTTGAAGCGCGTAAAAGATTTTCTGAAGTTCTCAAAATTACGTTGTTTTTCTGAAAAATCTTTTTAATTAAAAATCATGGAAATAAATGAGACACAATAGAAGACCTGAAGTCTTCTATTGCAGAGAAAGATTTAGTATACGTATAGACGGAAGC